AGAACAGCAGAATATACAAGGTAAGTACACTTAATAATAGACCCTCGATTGATTTTGATATTCTTTGTGTAATCCATCCGGACTCTACTGTGTTTTTAATCACTAGGTGGTGCAAATACAACGTGAAATTTTATTCTAATTTCTATTTAATCTTATTTGTCCGATAAGGAATTAACTTTGGATAAATAGATCTTACGCTACACTAGTGCCATCAGTGGGAAGCACATTGAGAACTAGAAGCTCTGTTGACATTGAGAAAGGGACCAATGACAATACCTATTAAATTAAATAATCATCTAACTCCTTGTCCACTAGAGGGTCGCAACCTAGCAGACTGTGACGGCACAGCTTGTGGAGACGAGGCATGTGGAGGCGGTGTCTGTATACTCGAACAAGGCAGGGCTCGGTGTTCATGCGGAGCTTCCTCCAACTACATTGGCACTGGCCCTCGTTGCCGTCGCCATGTCTCCTGCCAACCTTCCACCTGTGCCCCGCCTAGAGGTCGCTGCAGAGCTGACCGATGCATCTGCTCTGCTGGATACGCTGGGACTTTCTGTGATCAAAGTCAGTATTGTTTCACTAGGTTTTTTAACTCCTTTCCTGTTTAGGACACTTTTGGTTATGTAACGCTGTAACTCCTTGTTTCACAGAGGAATATGTATTTACTATGTAGTCAGTTGTTTTTTAAAACCTTTTGATATTATTAGCTTATATTGGTCAATTTCAGACCAAGGTCACTCCCACCCCATTCCTTAATCATTGTGTTCTTTAATTTTCTTCTTCGTTTTACCAGAGATCGACATCAAAATCCCGCAGTTTGATGGTACTTCGTTAGTATCACTAGGACGACAGTCTGCAATGGTCCATACTAACCAACAACGAATTGCTCCGACTCTTACCAGGCCCAGCTACGTCGCACTAAATTTTACAACGGCTGAACCAAATGGTCTATTGGTATGGATTGAAATGGTAAGTCATAAAATTTGTCAGTCTAGTTTTATTGTTTTCCACTTATTCTTTTCTGATTCCTAAGAAGCATTCGACGTGGTTCACGACATTATTTTATCAATATTCCTTCACGATCACTAATAAAAATATTCCCTAATAAAACAACTAAAGTACTAAGGTGATATTTAATGAATTTTAGTTTCTGTTATTGAAAATGCATATTGTGGTTCAGACTGAAGAAAGGGAATGCCTCAGGGGCCTATACTGTCACCAATTCCTTATCTTATTACATTATTATTAAAGTAAGTAAATGTGACTTATATAAGTAAGTACACGTATTGTTTTTCAACAGGGCAACGATTACATTGGACTAGGACTTGAGAATGGATATGCAAAACTGGTCTGGTCATTCAATCACAACAGTGTTAAAACAGCTAAATCGGGCTATGGAGATTTGGTGGGATCTCCAAGGACTTTGACCAGACTGATGCCTCATGCTGGCTACCTGAGTGATGGTGAATGGCATATTTTAGTTCTTCAGATCAACGAAACTAATATTACATTGACTGCTGATAATACACTGGTGTATACGGAAGAACCAGGATTGAATATTGAAGCCGAATATGATGATATCGACATGTTTATTGGTAAGTGATATTATCATCCTACTATTAGAAATGTGAAAGTTTGTAAGGATGTATCTTTAACGCAAAAACTACTGAACGGATTGGGATTGAACTTGGTATTGAGATATGTTTTTATAATAACTATCGTGAGACATAGATACTAAATTAACTAAAATCGCGGGTTACTCACGTGAATATACTGAGAAAAGCTCGACTAGTTTCGAACCACAGAGAGGTTCTTCGTCATGAGCAGCGTGCGTGGTTGCGGCGACGTCGCGCAGCTCACCAGTATTGAGTTAGTTTTAATTAACACATAGAATACTTTTATCTGGGTGATGCAAGGGAAGGCGCTGGTAGAATAATTAGTCTATTTCCTTTATAATCTACTTCACATTTGCACACATATTCTATTTTCTACCACTAATGAACTATTTATGAAAGATAACATTAAATTACTTGTAAGACTAATTGATTATTAATTTCCAGGTGGCATATCAGACCATGACTATGAAAAAGCGAAAAAAGTATTCCCAAATAATTTCAAAGGCTGCATCGACCAAATTTCTACAAGGGAGAAATCATTTATAACGAATTATACAGAAGTGTATAGTGAGAACGTGAAGTCGTGCCAACTCTACCCCCCAACATGATCAGACTAAGTTATAATAAGAACTAGGTCATGTGAAAATACTCATAGTACAAAAGTCTAGTCTTCTTATAGGAACAATGTCTTATAAACGCAATGTTAACATAGGACACTAACGTCCGAATACTGAAAGGATACTCAATTTTAAATTGTACTTAAATATCGTGCCATCTCTGTCATTTTACGAAGAACTTGTAGTGACAGAACTAGTAAAATGGGGTGAATAGGGATCGAGAGGTGAATAGAGACAAAAGAGGGGTGAATAGATATAAGGAAATTCTTCATAGTATCGATTCACCTCTCAGTCTCTATTCAACCCATTTTACCATACTTAAGCGCTACTTAAAATTAAGTGACGTTTGAGAATTCGGACATTATTTAAGTATTTATAATAGATGGGTGCAATTATATATAAGATTAATATAACTCAGTATTATGTAATTTGTGCAGATCTTAATTAAGTTTGGTGGTATGTTTTGTATTGTAGAAAAACAAATTAAACATTCAATGTACACAAAATATAGTTTTATTGATATATTCATGTTTAATAAATTGTATACATAACATCATCAAATATTATATTAAAACATATACATTTTTCGTTATACGTTACATACTCAAACACAAATACAATATGAGATGTTATCCCCGTTATTCTCATTAATTTAAAAACGTTTAGTTCTCAACACAATGCAGTAATTTCAATTGGCATACATGTTCAGCATCTAAACATGCTCCTTACACGAAGCTCATGAATATCAGATTTATTTACATTTCATTATTAAAGCATGTACATTTATAAAAGTCATAGAATTCATTAGGCCTATTTACAAGTGGAATAAAGTTGGAATGCTTGACCATAGTACACAATTTAGCTTGCAATCGGTGTATTGTACAAGAGTGTAAAACTCACTAGGAACATCGATTCCTTCACTTGATACACGATACTATTCTGATAATAATTTCTAAAAAATAAATATTTATATTAAGCGATAAAGAATAAATAATTGTTAATTGCACATCGTCATTATGATAAAATTTTCGAAAATTAAATAATAAATTTATAACATTGTAAGCTGAGCTTACGTTTTAAGTTATGCCGTACGGAAATAGGCACGAAGTGAATTTCTTCTCAACTACAGAAATATTAACAAATTCAATAAAAACAGAAGACATTTGAAATCCAAAAAGTAACACGTACTCTAGGAATGTTTCAGATAATAATAATAAAGATACAATAGAAAGAATAGAATATGCTAATCACAGTAGAAGTAAATATTACATATTTACGATATATTAATGGCTATTGGTGCGTAATTGTATCTCAACCATAAATAATAATAAATAAATACAGCAACATATAGGCAGCGCCGCGCGGTACGAGGCGGCGCGCCCAGTGCGGTCGAATACAATACGAAGCCTACGTAACAATGTTATTTATTATGTACGACATTACCTTCACGAAACAACATTAATCTGAATAATGATACTAAGAAACATCAAAGTTCATCCCCGTACAATGCTTTATTTACTCTAATTCTGAATATAAATGATACTTAAATTCACTTTTTCTTATCTACAAGAAATTCGTTTATTAAAATTATATTTATAGGTATATGAACATCAGTTAACAATTTCCTAATAATGTTATTAAAGTAACAGACACCAGTATGGGAATTAATTTAAAATATCATATTTCAAACATAATTTTCTAAAATTGAATTCCTGTTCTTACTTTTATACCGGGTGGTAACAATCTCAATAATTCGTAATCTCTAAATTTATAAACAAATTAATTAATCTATATTATATAATGTCATCAATAAAAGGTCATGTTCTGAGAATTAAAAACAACAATATTATGAAGTTATCGATAATACAATATAATTAGGTACATCGATACTATCAAATAAGCACTCGGAGCATATAAAATCGGATTGTTCCGTGTCGCACGCGAGCTGGGAGCGGCCGCGGTACGGCGCGACACAGGACTCGTCAAGGGGAAGCATTGATTCATTCTATAAACAAAGCATTTACTTGTAAAATCAGTCTCATTCGCATAAGGAAGTGATCACAGCACACACACTGGAAACTCGTTGCAGAGCGAGGGGCCACGTCCCTCTTAACAAAACTTTAATAATAATATAGAGCACCTCGTTTGCTATCTTCTTACAATTAAATCTGATAAAGTTATGCAACAGATCGTTCGATAATTCAATTTTATAAAAATATCAAATGTATGGAAAAATACAAAGAGAATAAAATAGTAAATATCGGAAGTACGTGTCGTATCACCATCTAAACAAATATTACGATTCGATATTCAAATATAGTATAACAAGCACAACGGCATTTCGCTAATACAGTAAATAAAATAATAAGTTACAAGCATAGACTAGATTTATGAAAATTTGTGAAAGTTTAGATACAACACATAGGAGACACGATAGAACGAGAGGCTCTCTCGCTCGACTGTAAAAAATATACACTCTGAATGGCAACCTCACATCGATGCAAAAAATGCAAAGCCGGTAATATTTTTGTAATCTAAATTAAAACATCGATATCCATCGACGGACGCGACGAGAGGCGCGGCCATCGCGAGCTGGCGCCCGTCCGCCGCCCGGACTCGGCCGTACAAAACACGAGAACTCGAGTCACTCGGCCACAGTCGGCCACGTCGGCCATACTCAGCCATAGTCGGCCACAGCCGGCCGTACCGCGGCCGCGGCCGGCTACAGGCGGGCCAGCGCGCGCGGCCGGGCCGCGGCCAGCTCGCGTCACGGCCGCGCCTCCACCAGGCGCTGCAGCAACACCGCCACGCACACCGCCAGCGCCAGGAACGCCGCCGCCATCAGCAGCGCCACGTGGCCCGGCTGCAGGGCGCGCGCCGCGCGGGCCCGTCGTGGCCGGGGCGCCGGCGCCGCGCCCGCCACCGCCAGCCGCGTCGCCGGGCCCCACGCGCCCGCCAGCCCCGCGCGCACGCAGCACAGCCGTACCAAGTACTCCGCGCCCAACTCCAGCTCCTCCAGCTGGAACTGGGTCTCGTTGCCGGAGTACACCTGCACGACATAGACACGGTTAATAGACACTAGCTGGCACAAATTCGAATACGTCAAAAAATGTAGTAAGAACTGACCTGCTTGTAAACGGCATCCTTGGCACGCGCGCACTGCAGCACGTACTCGGAGTCATCCAGCGCGTCCCACGACACCAGCGCGGCGCGGGGCGCGCACTGCTGCACGGCGGGGGCGCGGGGCGCGGGCGGGGGCGCGCTGATGGTGGCGGCCTCCAGCGGCTCCGACCACACGCCGCGGCCGCCGCGCTCGTCGCTCGCACGTATCCGGAATGCGTAGGTGGTCGCCTCGCGCAACTTCTTTACTTTGCAAGACCGCGCGGAGCCGCGGTACACGGGGCGGAAGTCGCGGGCCTCCAGCGAGCGCATCTCCACACAGTACTGCGCGCCCTCCCCGCCCGCCGCCGGCCACTCCAGGCGCAGGTAGTTGTGCTGGGCCTGCACACAGCGCAGCGCGGGCGGCGCGGGCGGCCGCGGCCGCGTGCTGGCGCGGGCTTCCTCCGACCACTCGCCCAGCCCCAGCTCGTTGAGCGCGGCCACCCGCACGCGATACACAGTGTCGGGCTCCAGCCCCTGCACGAGCCGCTCGGGCGCCGGCCCGTCGGTGTCGAAGGCGGCGTCGCCCACCTCGACGCGGTAGCGCAGCACGATGGCGCCGTGCGCGGGCGGGGGGCGCCAGTGCAGGCGCAGGCTGTCGGCCGTGGCCTCGTGACGCAGGCCGGCGGGGGCGCCGGGCGGGGCGCGCGGCGTCAGTACGTCGCGTACGCCAGACCACGCGCCGCGTCCCGCCGCGTTGGTGGCGCATACTCGGAAGAAATAGGGGGAGAACGGGACCAAGCGCCCCACTAGGCAGCTCGTCTCCGCACCCCTGTACACTTCTGAGAAGGCGTCGTCGACGTTCGTCGCACTCATCTCGAGGCGATAGTCGAGGATGGGTGCTCCATTGTCGCGTGGTGCGGTCCATTCCAGGCGGGCGGAGCGAGCACCCTCCAGTTGTGCAGTGGGCGTTTCGGGTACCTCGGGTGGCGCCGGTGCGGTCGAAAACGTGAGAGCTTGAGACGGTGGGCTCGCACCCACCCTGTTGTGCGCCGTGACCCACGTACGATACTCACGACCGGGCATCAGTTCGCGAACTATACATTCGCAGTCCAGTCCTTGATAGGCGAGGCGAGCAGCTCCGTCAGGATCGGCCGAAGGAACGATTTCCACCCGATACTCGGTAATGGGTGCGCCGCCGGTACAGTCTGGCGCCCGCCAGCGCAGCGCCAGCAATGTACTGCGCGGCTCAGCGCCGGGCGCCGGTGCCGCCGGGGCGCCAGGCACTGCGCACTCCGTCGTTACAGTCTCCGTGGCAGACCAGTCGCTCGCGCCGGCTTCGTTGGTACAGCGCACGCGCGCTCGATAAGGTGTACCGGGCAATAATCGATCGCAATGTGCTTCGCGCTCTGGTCCACGGTAAGCCGGTCGATATCCGTCGCCGGCGTCGAGCTCGAGGGTATAGGAATCGATGGTTGCGCCCCCGTCGTCAACGGGTGGTTCCCAGCGTAGGCGGAAAGCACGTGAATGGATACGTCCACGTGCAGTCGGTCTTCCAGGTGGCCCGGGACGTTCAGGTAGCGTTCGGTAGGTCACTTCTACAGACCAGGGACCTTGACCGTCGACGGTCTCACTTCGAAGACGAAAGCGGTAATCAGTAGCACGATGGAGTCCACTGCAGACGTAAGATCGATCAGGACCCGAATACACAGGTAAAAACCCATGGCCGCGAGCTGCGTCGTCCATTTGTAATGTGAATTCTTCGTCGGAGCGACGCTCCCACCCTAAAATCAGGGATTCGTTGCTGGCAGAGGTGAGTGCGGGGGGAGCGGGGGCTGGCGGGGGACAGCCGGTGGTCCAGGCGACTGCCTCCTCGCTCCACTCGCCGCGGCCGCACTCGTTGACGGCGGCGATACGGAACCGATAGCGAGTCTGCGGCCGGAGGTTGTTGACAGTGTGCTGCCGATTACGGGGCCGGCTGACCTCTACGAAGCCCTCGCCGTCGTCCATCTCCAACACGTAGTAGAGGATACGCGCGCCGTTGTCGGTGGCGGCGTTCCAGCGGAGTGGCAGCGACGTGCGCGCGCGCTGCGCCACGCGGGGCGCCGCCATCTGGTCGGGGCGCGCGGCGGGGGCGCGGAATGTGGCCGACGCACTCGTCGCGTCTAACTTGCCGGCGCGGATTTGGAGGCATACCGAATATTCATAACCCGGCTTCAGATCTCTCACTCTGTCATATGAAAAAAAAACAAGTTATTATAATACAAATCAAATCAATTAATTTTATAGGAATATACAGTAGTACTCACCGGCATGTAAGACTTTGTCCACTATAAATCGCTTTGTAGCGGCCACCACGATCAGCCAAGAGCAAATCGTAAGTTAACTCGCCACTTGGTACTATGACGTCTTCTGGCACTGGAATATTCCAAATCACTAGAGCGCTGGTCGACGATACATCAGTGATCTGAAATTTATTAATCCACCTTAATTCTATATTCTGCAAAGTCAAAGCATATATGAAATATAAGTGTAAGTAATCCATATTTTGGTACTTTTGAAACGTCAACAATAATAATAATCTGTCAGTCTGTATGTCACTGAAGCTAGGTGCTCATTTCAAAATGTAGATTCGAATGGAGAAGAACAAGCAAGAAACTACATTCGTTACACTAAAATAACTAAATAAATAAATAGAAGTATCAAATCATGTTGGAGTACAAACCTGAGGTGTGCGTCTAGCAGCAAACATGTCGAGTATGGCCTGGGCGTCGGTTTCATCTTCAACCTCCCCATCGCCTTGGACAGAGGCTGCGGCAGATGAGCCATCGCCTTGTACTGAAGTTTCGGCTGAGGAAGCTTCTCCTTCCTCGGACCAGGCTCCGGAGGAGGTGGTCGTGCCGCTGCCGACGCCGGCGGTGCTGGCGCCGCTGCTGGGCCCACTGCTGGGCATGCTGCTGGGCATGCTGCTAGCCAAGCTGCCGCCGCCACTGCTACCAGCGCGTCCGTTCAATTCCTTCCGCGGAGACAACGACGGCGTACTTGCACCCGAATTCGCATCTGCATTTAAAATATTGATGAATATACCAAATAAAATCGCGTCTTACAGCAAATCGAGTTCCCTTGCCACTCCTACATTTGCTTGACCCAAATTCACAGCATACATACATAAAACCACATGGCTTTTATTCCCAAAGACTAAACATGCAATCCACTTTTCACTGGTGGTTTGAAAGAAGAAAGCTTATTACTACAATAACACATCATTATTTCAAACTACCTGCTTAGAAAGTATTTGGAATAAGCTTTATATTATTTACTAAACAAAACCAAATTATTGCATGGATTTAAAATTATCTGTAAATTATTGCAGTTACAATGTAGACCTTTCTTTTTAGACATTATGTCATGATACACATTGGCAACTATACACATATTGCTAAAATCAATTGAGCAGTGCAGGTTGTTCATAAAAGACACAATAAAATTCTGAACATATCTAAATAACATTTCTTCAGAGATCACAGTATCTACAAGCACAAGCAGATATATCAATAAATATATAACTCACCAATTCCGTTGTTCCTATTAGTTTGTTTCCTTTCTAGTTTTTGTTTTAGTTTAGAGTACTGCCTCTGGGTTCTCTCGTCTTTCTGGTACACTGGAGGCGGGGAATGCTGCACGTGGTGTGGAACGTGGTGGAAGTGCGGTGGGTAGCCTGTACTGTAGTAATGTTGTGGTCCCCCGGTACCATTTGTAGGTGGCTGGAAGAACAAGTGTCACTTTTGAAACACCTACATAAAATCTTATAAAATTATTGTCAAAAACATATCCATATACCTACACCGAATTTTTGTTTGTCTATTTACAAATAGTGGGTAGATTAAAATTAATAGTAATATTAGTAGGTAACTAAAAATAAATAATATAAACAATATCTTTTTATAGCAATGTCAAGTGATTTATTTTTATTACATCAAACACATTGATATGTATTATTGCCATATGTATTTGTAGACAGCTAACATGTATTTATGTGTGAAATTAGTATCTTCGACTATAACTTGATGTTAAACTATTCAGGGAAAACAGAAAAATTATTATTTACTAATTTTATATAAAACATCAACACTGAGAACTCCACAAACATAAGCATATTGTATAAAAATCTGTGAAATAAAATGTAATTAATAAGTGTAATTGAACAGACCCGATTATGTCCTGCTTGTTGAGAAGTATTAGTCTTATTTTGGTCAGGATCACCCATTTTTAAGATTTTAACAGCATATAAATAACAATTTCAATAGTTTTAGTAAACGTCACTGCCACGTACTAGCAACAGCCAACTGTTTTTCGTGATAACACTTCGCTACACAATCATATGCGACCGTATAACTTCGCCACGATTAGATTAGCGTCGCATAAAGCGCGACTTTATTTAATCACCTACCTACTGAATATTGTCGGATAACAACGCCTTTATACAAATTTTAAAGCGAAATATCTATGTACCTAGGTATACTGTTAAATTTACAAGCGAAACAATCGATGTAGCGACACAAATGTTTACACAGAAGGTTCAAGCTACCGAAGTGATTTTGTCAGTTGTGTTCAGTTTACAATTTGCACTGTATGTTTTTATGAAACTACAATGTGATATGCAGATACTGATGAGGCAAATTGTGGAACTAGTAGAAAACACGTTGTAGATTATTATTTGTTGGTAAATAAATCTCTTTTGCTACCGTTTCGCCGGTACACGCAAAAAGTCAATGAACTGATGACATTAAACGTCAAGCAAGCTTTAATTTGACACTGACAGTTGCATTGCACTTGCATTGGCCATTGCGTTTAGAAACAAAACATGATCGAATATTTTTCTTTGCTCAACTGACGTTTATAATTAATCAAAGAGTATTATTAATCATTCATTAAAACTCCTTAGCTAAAGAAACATTATAAACCTAACTCACAGATTTTAAGCTATTCTTTAGGTATTTTCATTTACTTCGTCCATGACCATGTCGTTACTCACCTACCCAATATATTTAGGCCTCAGATTCATTTATTTAGTTAGTTTAAGTAAAAATAAAAGTAGTAAAACTAACTACACGCTGGCAGGTTTATGGGCGTTGGATAATATACATCGGATCACTTTAGTAGTTGATTGTCAACAACTTTAAAATGTTAATAGCGTATGGCCTTGATGGGCCATTGAACCACGAAGGTATGCTGTGAGCGAAAAATACGGTTATACCTACTAAGTTTGTTCCGAATACGTAATTGATATTGACATGTAATACTGGACCTCATTACTTGATTTAAAAGAGCTATATCATTTTTTAGAGTAAGATTAATCTTTTGCGACCCCATCTTCATTTCATTTGTATGTATGTAGTATGTAGTACCTACATGATGTACACGAGTAAAGTTATATAACGATGTAGCTGCAATTTGTTAGCGATTGGCTGTTGGAGGTGAAACTATCAAACGGATAACAAGAAGTTTATTAGATAACAAGAACCTGCAAGTGCATGATAGAATTACTAGATTGCGGGTGCACTACGTATTGTCCCCTATCCTTACAACTGCAAGGTCGAAAGTCCTACTGCGTAGTGAATGGAATTCTTTTGATTATCCTGTTGCAGATTTAGAATCATTCTTATAGTCATTGTATATGGTTCATTCTTTCTAGGATTGTTAAGAACGATCCTTCGTTTTTGTTATACAAAAAATGCCCTCAAAATCCGTGTTGCGCATATGGTGCGTGAGTCAGAATTTCATAGAAAGACTTAGTAGCTCTAACAAAATAAGGATCTGATTAGCTCTATCCGGGATAACACTAATTAGTTTTATTTACATAATAAGGCTATCGTGGTCAAGACACGCGTGTCACACGTGTCTTGTCATCATATTGCATGAATGACCATTGTTACAGCCCATGGAGTATGTAAATGATTAAAATGATCGGTTCCAACTTCAGAGCTATTCACACATTCCGGAGAACAACCTTTTTATGAACGTATGGCGCAAAAAGAAGGGTTGTGCTCGTACAATTACTGGATAGGTTTGACGCTAATATCGTATTTGTGTTTATATCTAGCTAGACTATCTACCAGAGTCTATTATAGCTCTAGAACAGATGGGCTGATTTCTATAATGTTTTACAAAGACCATGTTCCTAGACAACCTAACAGGCAAAGTTAAAGTAAACTAGAATAGGAAAAGATACTTTTAAATAAAAAAGTATCGAATGTTGTTGTTATTAAATGCTTACATAATGATGTGGTGGCTGGTGGTGGGGCGGTGGTTGGTGGTGTTGGGGCTGATGGTGCGGCGGCTGATGATGCGCTGCATGGTGCGGATGCGCCTGCGCATGCACCAGGTAGTGCCGCATGTTTTCATCTAACACTGGCGGCATCATTGGCGGCATCATCGTACCTGATGGCACTACTGGCATACCTCCTGAAAACATACAATATGAGTTTAATAAAAATAAATTAAGAAGACGTTTTAAAGAGGAATCTACTAAGACTAACTTATGATTAGATATGCTATAAAATAAAAATATTTAGGTACCAACTCCTACTAAGTATTGCCGATACGTAACCATTTAGTATTTATGTTTTATTAGTATTGCCTACCTTCCAAGACAGCTAGTAATTAATGATTGACGATAAAATTAATAAAATAATAACAACCGAAGATGTCACTGTTTGAACTGAGGATTAAAAAATATAGCCGTTATTCATCCAAGGAGTGTTTATATTTCAACCAGATTTAAATTATTATAATTGAAGTCAATTAATACATTATCAACAGCCATTAATAAAGTAATTTCCATTCATGATCGGATTAACGTTCAAACAATAATAAAGTGTTGCTAGGTAAAAAAATATTTAAAATAAACTCTCCAAAGTCACGTTTAAATTCATTAGAAATTAAAGTTAATTAGAAATAAGTAGTTTACGTTTGATAAAATAAATTAAATATAAATAGCTTCCGAGATAAGATATCATAAGCAAGTTATTCGTGATCCATATTACTTAACTGCCAAAAAATGGTTCAACTTATTGCAAGTGTACACGTATTGTTGTTGAATGTTTACATTTTATTCTGATAAGATAAATAATCATCAAAAAGTTAATGGCTAGGTATAATTTATTTATGTATTCAGTATAAACATGGCTGATAATAAATAATGTTTGCATGTAGTGATGTAGGCCAGGTTGCGTGCTCGGGTGAAGTGCCACGTCACGGGTGGCTTAATTTCGCTTTATTTTGACATCGACGACGCCGGCGCGCCGTTCCGCCCCGTAACTTTGTGGTTATGAATGAACGTGTTTTGGGTGTTCGTAGAAAGCGTTCTTTGTGTGATCATCCGGCTCGGTACGAAGCGCCCGCGGCGGAAACGTGCCGCATAGCTGAGGCCGGCTCGCGAACTCGCGATGCAACGCGACCGCAGTCTTGAGCAATGCCGTGCAGAGGTATCCCACGAGAGCCTTGAAGCTCTTTGTTTCGACTCACGGTAGAAGGGTTTTTTCCCAGTTTTAATTCGTTACGGTTACTTAACTTTCTGACACAACCACTAATTGAATGTGGTTTGCAGAACTTCTATTTTTAGCCAACCCTAATTACTGTTTTAGAAAACAAAATAATGGTAGTAAACAAATTCTAAACACGGCCCATTGTGTCTATATTTAGAAAGGGTAATTAGCTTATGCAAATTATTTATTGACTTGGGTACCTGTAAAGTTTAATCTACTATACAAAGGATTTACAATTTGATTACATTCTAGATCAAAGTTCTTTTATAGCTAATTACAGGTTACTATGTGGTACTAGTACTATCTAGTCAAATGAGTGGATTATATGACTACAAAGTATGGGCACTAACTTATAATCACGTAACGATTCTGAAAGAATGTTCTTACAGCACTAACTAATAGATAGTTGCCGTACTTAGAGTTACGAGCAAATAAATAATAAGTAAATTACAAAACAGACATTTATGTGGATGATAAAACACTACACATAATAAAATTCGCATTCCATGAGTGAAAATATTCACTTAACATCATAAAACATTATTAGGTGTAATAAAACAAATTCACTAACTAAAGACTGTTTGAGAACTTTACATTTCTTTCTTTACAGATATTTTGTTTACGAATACCTATGTATGTTAAGCACCTAGGGTAAATTAACATTAATTAAACGCATCTAACTAGGGTGAATGACCTCTTAAATTGAATTTAATGCAAGGAGTATTGATAAGAGGAGGGTGTGAGCAAAGACATCAATAAACGAAAGTTCTTCGAGGCAAATAATGAAACAAAAGACAACGCAGGAAGAACAGCGCACCTAATATCTACGATACTTTGAATGAATTGAACATCAACTCTTGATTTAATAACCCAGGAACTTAAGTGTAACTATAAGCAGTTAATTAGATTCGAACTCATCCATAAAAAAGCGCCTTGTGTCGTGGTGGTCCGAAGGTTAAGACGCCCGCTTCTCATGCATGAGGGTGCAAGTTCGAAACCTACCAATGGCAACTACCAATGTGACTTTTTCCGAGATATATGTACTTTCTAAGATTATTTAGACACCACTGACAAACGGTGAAGGAACACATCGTAAAGAAACCTAGACTTATAATTTCTAATTACAAGTTTGAAATCGCCATCCGCAATGAGCAAGCGTGGTGATTAATGCTCAAACCTTCTCCATGTGAGAAGAGGGTTTGCTCAGCAGTAGGCACTTATAGGCTGTTGATGATGATGAGTAAAAGCGCCAATTATAAAAAAACAACGATCATATCATAATAGGATGTGGCATTAATATCTATCTCAGCCTTTGCTTTCTGTATGGATTAAATTGCCATTTGTTTTAAGGTTGACTACTTTCTTACTAAGATTAACCAAAAAAATTGAACCAATAAAGCCCACAAAACATATAAATAAGGTCAATGAAGCCTGCATTTACTTTGATCTATGTAAAAGACCTTTTGGGCCCCGTATCGGACTACGGTGACCGATGACGCTAGCACAGGATTAGCCTACTACCAGGCGAGATAAAGTCGGAGTAGTTTAAAGTCGGACCATCAAATATATAAAAAAAGCCTTTCGACAGTTAAAGGCTCAACAACAACTCACCGTATTCAGGGAGCACGGTACACATATGCGCATGCTGAGGATGCTGCGAGGGGTGAGGACACATCTCCTGCGGAACGTAGTATTGTTCGGGAGGGTAGTACTCTCCGTAGTAGCCGTCGCCAGGGCCGCCCCCGCCCCCGCCTCCCTCTGCGACCCCCACGCCGACCATGGTGGGCACTAACACTGCATGGCACGCTGCTGTCCACGCCGCATCTGACTCAAACGACAACGATCTGTGGACAAAACATAAGATGCTTTTAAAAATAAGATAATTTTTGTCAGCAAACTATTGTGTACTTAGCTTAGAACAGTTGTGAATTATAAAAAAAATATGGCTAATATGAAAGACATGTGGTTTTCGTAAGTCTCCTTTTAGAGCGAGCAAAACTATTTTGGGGAATCCTAAATCCCCAATTAAATTAAGTAGGTACCGCTGAACTGATCACTCAAGTTAACATATATATATTCGGAAGGATTTGAGACAGTTGTTTTGCTAGGGAACCAAATTAAGGATGAGAGGTATTTTCTCCTCTTCACATTGTTATAGGACGAAGACAATATTAAGTACCAAGTCTAATTAAATTATGATGGCTATCAAAGTTTCTGAACTTCATGGTGTTATTAAAGTTCCGTAGTCGACCGGACCGTTACAATTTGTCCGTTCACCCGATCCCAATGTCATCGTCGTCACGCTTTTTTACCTTAATGGGTGAGCAGCACTATAAGCGGTATTCAAACATGGCGCTTCCATACTGCTTCGACCCTGTTCAATAGCTAGACATCCAGGAAATCAAAATTTTTCGGTCGATAGTTAAATATTTGTTTGAATGTGCGAATTTTAATAGTAGATATCTAAATATATTATTAATAACAAAGGAGCGATATGATTTATTTATTGCATCTAGGCTTTACGTATAAGAAAACCCTATGACGCAGATACGCATACACTTTTACCGAAACGATGAAACATAGTATACCCACGACTAGAATAACATTTACTAACTCAACATTGGCAAAAAACCGCAAGTGTTTATTCAGTATCCACACAATTCGTCAGAACCGAAAAGTTGCAAGACGTATTGCATTGCATCACTCGTTTTAAAGTTGATTTTGTCTAGCGTCTAGCAGATGCATTAGTGTTGGGAGTTGCACAAGGCACATCGTAACGTAACGATATCGATACATCCGTGTGAGCACGTCGTGACCGTATTTGCCTTTTAAATGGGGTGCTGTCATGGAACCTCACGAGTTCTGCGTGGATGAGCCCGCAATCTGTGTCAGTGATTGTGGCATGAGCGGAGCTCCTTGAAACCAACGCTCATGCCTAGTCGTTATAAAAAAGTTGTTCAATCTCCGCGCCTCAAATATTGCAACCAACCTAACCTCTCTGTATTTTTTGTAATTAGCACATTTTGCCCTAATTATTATTTATACTTCACTAATGAGCAATTGCTTACGCAAATTACTCGCTGTTTTCTAACAAAACAACGCGGCATCGTGCTGACAGAACCCTGAAATTAGGTAATCGCAGCAAAAAGTCGATTTCTTATACGCCTTCTGCTTCGTCGAAAAAACATAAGTAAATTGATGCTCATTTTACATAAATTACGATATACATTTTTGTTTGTGTATTTCCATTTACGTATCGGATTTCAAAGAAACATTTTTCCTCGTAGCTATCAACTGAAGGATTATTGAGCTTCACGATCAAAGTAGAAAAAATAGCATTCACTTGCTAATGTAGGTACTGGAAGCATACCTGTGTGATAGAGCTTTGTTTTTTTATACTCAGTAATTTAAACAATCTAAAAATAAACAAGACCAAAGCGCTGTCTATATTTGTTTACGTCACTAGAATAATTAGCGCTAATTCCGTGACAATCGCGCGCAAATATTCACTTCACGGTAACGTGTATCCCCACACATACAAACATAAGTAACTTGATCCTTTTAATATTTGTTTGACTAATTGTTAAGGTTTTGTGTGAATGCATGAATGAGTCGACTGTGGCTGCGTGCCGTGCACGGGTTGAGTCACCAAATCAACAAATTGTGGAGTCATTCATGTGCGTGGAAGGGCACATTGTGGTCGCCCAGTTGCACTGTTAAAAACTGTTACAATATGTCATTAGGCAATCGCTATTTATTGTTTAACTATGTGTCATTGTCATCACGCCTATTAATAAAATAATTATCAATTATATTAATAACTTGTATTCAAACGTCACGAGACAGAAAGATAGAGACCATCACAAATTTAATGTTAAACAAGTTAGTGCTCCACAATGGGTTCGCACGGATGTTCTTTCCCGACTTTCCCCAGTTTTTCTTTCATATAAACTTTATCCTGACAATAATGAACATAGTAAAAAGAACTAGGTATCCAATTTGTCGTTTGTGGTTATGACTTAAGGATTTTGTCCTTGTCCCCCCATTCAAACAAAAGATTTTTATCCTTAAAATCATAAATCTGTACCTACATCGGCTTACATGACCATTCATTACTCACTTACAGGCAAACAATTAGGTTTCCAATTAGGTATTATAGGTTCCAAAGTTACCAATTTTCCCCCATACATGGGCATAGTCAATTGTAAAATACAGTGATTTTGTATGACGTCAAAGACTAGATTTTTCAACGAACTGCCGTAATTCGCACAGCAACATGAAGTCAAATTTAATTTAAAGTGGAAAATTACGTAGATACCTTTGTATGTATGTGTAGTTGTACATTACTGAACATACACGCCGCACGTTAATTATTAATAGGTAGTTAGGTACCAACCTAAGTACACGACTTGGTAATTTAGTTTCTAACTACCTCGTCTTATCCGTCAGTACCTTCGATAAATCAACATTTTTGATGCATACTGCATATCAGCCAATGATGGATTGAATTAATCAAGAATCCCAAATGCTTTCAAAAGATTGCAACACCTTAGATAAGTAAAAGTAGTCTGGGTAACTAAATCAATTTTTAATTTTAAAAGAAAGTTTCATCCTTGCCCTCTAAAAGTATGAAAGCACTGAAAGCGGACGCAGCCAATCTCACAAAGAAGAAAATTAAAAGAGAAATGATAACTCCATTTCAGTTTTAATCCTCTTAAACATTCAATAAGAACCAATTAATATATGTTTTAAAAGGAGAGTAAAGTCTCTGGCACCAATAAACTTTTTAGGTGGAATATTGCCATTTTCCGGCATTACTTATTCACGGCTGCCGGATGAAAGATTAAAGACCTTCCCCGTGCCTATAGCGGCGGATACAGATGATTAAATGATAACAAACATTTTATTTCTTATCACCCGGCACGACACGACATGCAACTCAATAGTTATCTGTGTGCGTTTGATAACTGTGCAATAGAAACCTTTGCATTTCCGTTGGACAATTACACGCTACATAACGCTATAATGTACCTACTGGAGTAAACTACTGCTTAGTATTTATGCTTGCCTGGTACCAGAGACATTGAAACTGATGGATGGCTCATCGTTACAAACGTTTATATTTTATTGCAAACGATATTATACTAGGGTGTTCGGCCCTAACAGGAAATGTCAGATCAAGTTCAACATTTTGTTATTTGTTTTCCAATGCCGAAAGTATGGTTTTGTGTTCGTAAAGGTTAAACAGATTAGGATGATAAGACACGTATACATCTTTGATAAGGGACGACAGGGTTTATGCCAGATCAGATACATCGACGACAATGGACACAAGTTTTATTTAGAACAATATCTTCACAAAGAGTGGCCGAAGAATTTTTGGTACTTAAGGTCTCATTTTCAATGGGAACTGTAATATTTTCCTTAAAGTTTTTGAACCGAAATCGATTAAAGTTTCCAAGAAACACTGACACTGAAAATAGCACTTCGGTAATCGATACTGAAATAAATGCTCATTATCGCAGTTGGCTATTATTTACGTCGTTGATATTATTTCAATAGAGGATATTCCGTTCCGGCACTAATTAATACTTTGACTACCTACTTACGCTGCAGTTCTAGAAAAAACGTTTTATTAATGCCTGTATTATTCCGATAAGTATATATATTGGCCGTAAGCATGAGTGTCAGTAGACTACCTATTTTTAGTAGTAGAGGAGTATTTTAGTCGTATTTATTTTTTATGGGTCATATTTATCATATATTTCATCAAATATTTATCATTTTTACCCGTAAACGAGCAACCGGACCACCTGATGGTAAGCAATCCTCGCCCATAGACACCCGAAACACCAGAGGCGTTACAAGTCTGTTATCGGCCTTTTAGGAATTAGGAATTAGGATTGTTGGGGATTCAGGAATTGAGGAGATTGGGGAAGGGAGAGGGGTAATTCGGCCTTCGGTAACCTCACACACAAGACGAAACACAACGCAAGCGTTGTTTTACGTCGGTTTTCTGTGAGGCCGTGGTATCACTCCAGTCGGGCCAGCCCATTAGTGCTGAAGCATGGCTCTCCCACACTTAAATAAGTCCTACAGGCACTTTCGCTCTTGAAAGTAAGCAAAAATAATTAGATGATTCGATTTCTGATGACTAGTTACTAGTGATATGGACCACACTACTCAATAGTCACAATTTCACCATAATTATTATTTGTTATTCTCAGACGTTAAAGTCTCAAATTTTTTGTCGTAAGCAAAAAGTCGATACCAATAGGTATGATGGTACCTACAATATTTGCTGCGTACAGAACACACAGGTAAATCCCCTAGCAATATGACACGGCGATAACAACGCAATGATGAAATACTGTTCAGTTCACGGTACGATGCTTGCTGCCCTAATTATTCAATAGATAGCACTGTAACAACATCGGAACTTTATGATCATAACATCATACAGTATTTTAGACACTACACATAATTCGAGGCAACTATTACACGTTCCCAGCCATTCAATCATCAATTGACACATCATTATTCCCTTCACACACTTTCCGCAATCATTCACCTTCTATATTTCTCTTTAAAGCCATTCAAGGACTCATAATAAGGTATTTCTATTCAGCCACTAACTTCGCTTTAAATATTTAAAATTCCATTATATTATTCACCTCTCATTCACCCATTCAGCCAGACCATGAACATTCAAATATTTTATTAAACCAATATGGCAGGAAGCATAGCCGTTAATTGATCGTTTGCGTTATCGAGACAGCCTTGACTCGAACCGCGACCGAACCACACATGCATTCTTAACTAATTCGATATGATTATAATTCGC